CAATGAGACCATCCGCGCGGCTGTATCTTGTTCCTGTACGGAGTTATTGGCAAAAAACCGCTGGTGACCTTTGATGACGTCACATGACCTTACAGCTGCCCGACAGCAAAACAGACCTCAAGGTAGTGAAGGTTGATCGTATATGAAGTCATATATGGTATATGGGGCCATTCCGACGCGTTTTAGTGGTAAAAACAGGGAGTTGATTTTTCCCCCATTGACTTATAATGGGGAGGTCGCGAAATTGACCTGACCTTAGGTCACCGACATCAAAATTCCGAGATAAACAAATTGTAGCTACTAATGACCTAATAACATCCTGCGACTTTCAAAGGCCTCCGACATCTACTGTAGCTCTGGCACGGTGACAAAGTTGCAAAAAAGTGACTTGAGGTTGGATCATTCAAAGTGACCTGGTGACCTGACCTTGAAAGTTAGGAGGTTCAAACTTGCACACCATGTGTAAAATTGATGAGAGAATAGTCATACCAAATTTCGCGGCGCTACGCGCCGCGGTTTTCCCGCTATCCGCGAAAAACCTCAGGGGGGCGGATATCCGCCCCCCCCCGTCGGTGCGCGGGTTAAAGGGACCCTCCCACCTTCAAAAAAGTTTATGAATTGGTATGAAAGTGATGTCGCTCGGTTCAGAAAGGGCGAAAACGAATATCTAACAAATTTCACCGAAAAATATTCACCGGTTTTCAAGATATTAGACTTTTACTTTTGTTTACTTGTTGGGATCTCCGCTGTTCCTAGCGACTTTATTTGGAAGCAATAGTTTGGCAGCTGAAAGTGCGGCACTTGTTGCGCGCAAAGCAGCATATATCGCCGCGTGCTACAAAACGTTTTAGTCAAACATTTAAAAATCGTTAGATATCTGCGCTGACGTCACACATTCAGAGGGGTATTCCTATGCATTAGCCCCTCTGAATCAAAATGCTGCAATTTTGAAATTCAATATTTCCGATTTAAGGCATTTCTCGATGTTGTGAGTGCCGAAACCGGTAATTGTGAGCCAGGGACCCCATTTTGGCTATTTCAACTCAAATCTAATGTTAAGGTGGGAGGGTCCCTTTAATGTGCTTTTATCGATACCTATAGTCATATTTTGTGTCATTATTTTCAATTAAAAGTTCACAGCTATTGCCGACAACCTGACTTAAAAATCTTGTAACCATGTTTGCCATTTAACCATGTTTGCCATTTACATGTTTGCCATTTACATAACTGTACTTTTCGTTGAGCACATTGTAGTTTATCATGTGAAAATTGTGATGTCGTGCGTCCATTTTTCTTCTTCTAATTTTGCCTTTGGGGGGTGCTCTACAGAGCCCCCTCCCGTTTTTTTTTTCGGCAATATCTTCCAAACCGTTTAACGTATCGACACGTTACTTGCGGTACCTTCAGCGGCATCAATTTCACGCCTTGTATCTAAATTTCAACTTTCTAGCTACCATAGGTCGGCCGAAAATGACGTCAGAGTGACGTCATGTCGGCTGATTTTGATGCAAAACATTGAACTACGGCAATCGCTCTCAAGAGCTCAGTTTTTAAGCTAGATCTTATTTCTTTGCTTGTTGGACTTAATATAAACGTGTCTATCAAACTGCTATCTCAGATTTTCAAAATGTTTATTTTTTGTAAAATATACATACACAATTACAAAAAAAATAAAGTTTATTATTTTTTTTCCAAAAGGTTTTTTGCTTTTCGGAGAAAACGGAATATATGTAATAGAGCGCCCGTCGATAACCTACTCTAGAAAGTTTAAGCTCAATATTTTCAAAAATGGCCAAGCTATGCGCATTAAAGTGAAAATTTCACAATTATAGATTTTCTAATCCATTTTCAGTGCGTTTTTGACGTCATACAGAAATATAAATATTAATAGTACCATCGTGTTCCTGAGCACAAACTGCATCTGATAGGCACCTTTGTATTGAAATATTTCGTTTTCAAAATTTGACCTTTTTGACCTGAAAGTGACCTGACATCAGGTAAATTTAGATGAAAATGACGAGGAAAATGAAAGATGAAAATGTCACGTGACTGATACATGATATAAAATTTCCGTGACCTAGGATGACCTGGCTTGACCTGAAAAATTCGAAGTAAAGGTTCAGTACCCTAGGGGTATGTAAGAGTTATATCAAGGAGTTATAAACCAAAAAACAGTCTGATCGGACCTGTAAGCCGTCGGCCAGAGCCTAAATTGTGAACAAGCCAAAATGCTGATAATTTTTACTTTGATCTGACCTGTGACGTCATCGGTAACCGCTAGGTCAATGAAATTAAGTTTCGCTGGACAGTTTTTCCAGGGCTATCAGACGCCGCTTGAATTTTGACGATCAGCCCAGTGGTTTCGGAGATAGGAGGGGAGCTCTCTAGAGCCCCCCCCCCCCCTCGGTCACTCACGTTATGGAAAATACCCCAGTCATGCGCGGGTTAATAAAAGAGAGCTGTGCTGGCCATTAGGCGGGTGAATACTTGTTATAGGTACACTGGTAGAGTAAATGAAACTGTTAAATGATATCGAAAAATGAAGACGGGGTCTGAATGTATTGTCTTTTCTCCCGAGTGATCTGTCTCGACGGGCCATGTCTGACATGAAACGGCTCGGCTGCGCACCTGCCGGTAGTTGCGTCCGGCCAATCTCCTGCTCTCCTTGCCTCCAACCCCCCCCCCCCCGCCCTCCCCCACCATCCTCTCATCTTTCAACCATGACACGGTTTGCTATGGCCTTACAAAGAAAACTAGACGATAAATCAACAACAACGACAACAACATATTGGGTGTCAGAAGGATAAAAATGATTTAAATGTCACAGACATACTGATCATTGATAGGTATACTTTGTGTTCGCTTAGTATTCATTGAAATATAAAGTATTCACCTTCCTCATTATGGCAAGGATTAGGTTGGAATGTTTGGCCTTGCTGCAGGAACTCAGAAGGCATTTACAAGGTTTCTAGAAGAAAAAAACTTTGTATTCGTTTTCGCCTCTCGGCTTTTTCAGATCACCTGCAATAGTTACGCTCACAGGAAATACAAACAACCTTTACAGTTCTGTATTGGGGCTTGGAATCTATCAACCATGCCCTCTGAATTTTATTGCTGCATCTTCCTGTGGGTGAAAAAGGCCCACAGGGCCCTTCGCTGTTTCGCATAGGCGCTAAATAACACTGTCGGCCTCAGTTGGAGAGGACATCATGTTCCTGGTAACGGGAATATAGCATTCATAAATGTGTTCGAACATTTCAGTTAGGATGTTAGACAAATATGATAATACATCAGGTGGAATACCTACCCACATACAATCTACACAATACACTCGATGTATTACATATCATCGCAGACTGCAACCACAGGCGGCGGAACGGGGAGGGCACCGGGACACCGTGCCCCCTTTGATTTTGGATTTTAGCATTAGCCCTATGGGCGTTGCATGGAAAGAATGGGACCAAAAGTCGGCAGTGCCCCCCCCCCCCCCCCTGGTGTTCCGCCGCTACTGTCTGCAACAGTTTTCAAGCTTCACGCTGGTATTCTATCATCTGGATACGAAGCTCGCCAAATATTTTGTGATTTTAGACATATCGAGTTCTTTCACCTACCAGGTTTATCGTAGCAAAACTTAAAAGCTCAATTTTCCTATTGTGTTCGTCACCTTTCCCGTTCTCTCACATCATGTGCTACAGATGTACCTACAGGAAAGGAAGGTGTCTGCAGGGTTAGCAATTAGCATCGGCATGGATGAGAAAACAGGCATCGGTATGAATTATGAATACTGAACAGAGGACACAAAATCGAATATCACAATGTCTCACAAACTACCTACAAAAGACTACAAATGACAAAAGCATAAAATGCTATAGTACTCAGATTTAATTTATACGACCTTATCCGCTAATGAATCCGAAAAAGGAATATTTTTTTACGCGTGCATTCGGGCACAGCCCATCATCGGATGTATATTGAATGTTTACTTATTTGGCGATATGCCTACATCTGCTAATGGGCTGTGCCCAAATGCACATATAAAAGTTGTTTTTTATGATTCACTCAGGAAGAAGGTCGTATAAATTGAATTTAATTGTTAACTCATGCACCTTGAAAAAGCACTACGCGATAAATGCCATGAGTACTTTTGATATACCTACGCATATCAATGCACTGGAATTGGATTGATATTTGCTGTGGATGTCTGTTGTGTTGTTTTAATTGGGCCAATTTCTATGAAATCCAGTGTGTGAAAATCACGATAGCTGAATACAAATCAAGAACAACGTGGAAGAAGGCCGATTTTAGGTGCTGCCCACTGTCCAGCATTGTTTCGACCTGGCGTTGAAGAAATACGGCTCTCACCCGTTAATTTTGGTTAGTTTCCCCAGGCCAGCACAGTCTAAATGTGTTCCCGGACTGCGAGCTGGGGCCGACGGTGCCATTTAGCGTTGCACCCCAGACGGTCAGGTGGCGTACCGTCCGGAATGCCAGCTATGCGAATCTGCCAATTACACCGCTCTCTATTTACTCCCAACGACCCGTGAAAACCCCTAACCACCAGTTGGGCCCATTTTAGAGCAAACCCTAAATAAATACGGGTATTTTGGTGGGGCCGGCGGTGATCCATCAGATGGGAGTGCCGCCGGCGACGGCGGCCCACCGGCCACCCGCACCCGCACCCGTCGCCGGTCGTGGGCCGATGTCAGCGGCGCCGCCCGCGCCGCGGTACCGCGGACCGCCCCGAGCTGGCAGCGGTCCTGCCGCACCGTGACATAACCCTCCGCCGCCCCGTCGACGCTGCAATCTGCTTGCAAAGTGTCAAAAAATTGGCCGACAACACCGACGGTACAGTGGTGACCGGGATCGAAAACCGCCGCTGAGCGCCGGCCAATCAGAGGTCGGCGCGCCGTGACGTCACCCGGCCGACCAATCAGCGCCGGAGCTCCCGGCCATAGCGGCTGGCGGAGGCCGGCGCGCTCCGCCGCCAGTAATGCATAACGCATGAGCCGTGGCGAGCGGGAGGCTGCCGCGTGACATGGCCTCTGCCGCATACGGCGCCCTCAGTGCGGTGGGCGCGGACGTGAGTGTGTCCAGTGGTGCCGAGACCATGCTCAACTCGCCCGGATACGTGATGCGCGACGGCTCGGAGATGAAGTACATGCCGCACCCGCAGCAGAGCGCGATGCCGCACAATCCGTGGGCGTTCGCGCCGCAGGCCGACCCGGGACACTGGGCGACGGCCATGCACCCGCACGTGGGACTGCACCAGGACGTGAAGCCTCAGCCAGGTGAGATGCTGCACCACGGCCGGGTGCCTCAGCACGCGGCGCCGCACGCCTGGCACCCTCCGGTCTCCTCACCGTACATCGGCAGCACGCCCAACGGCGTCGGCGGCCACCTGCAGCACCCGGCCTACGCCATGAACGGTATGATGCCCCACCAGCTGCCGCACCTGGGCGGCCGCGACCCGCACGAGCTGATGGGCGCCCAGGGTGAGCACAGCCAGGAGATCGAGGAGGACCCGCCCTCCTCCGACGACCTGGAGGTGTTCGCCAAACAGTTCAAACAGCGCCGCATCAAACTCGGCTTCACGCAGGCCGACGTCGGCCTGGCGCTGGGAACCCTGTACGGTAACGTCTTCAGCCAGACCACCATCTGCCGCTTCGAGGCGCTGCAGCTCAGCTTCAAGAACATGTGCAAGCTGAAGCCGCTGCTGCAGAAGTGGCTGGAGGAGGCCGACTCGACCACCGGCTCGGCCACCTCCATCGACAAGCTGGCCGCGCAGGGGCGGAAACGCAAGAAGCGCACCAGTATCGAGGTGTCGGTGAAGTCGCTGCTGGAGCAGCACTTTCTGAAGCAGCCGAAGCCGGCGGCGCCCGAGATCTCTGGCCTGGCCGACTCACTGCAGCTGGAGAAGGAGGTGGTGCGCGTCTGGTTCTGCAACCGCCGCCAGAAGGAGAAGCGCATGACGCCGCCCGTGATCGGACCCAACTACGAGAACGGCGACACCAGCTCACCGCAGTCCTACGTCTCGCAGTCCGAGCTGCAGCACATGCAGCAGCAGCAGCAACAGCAGCAGCAGCAGCACCCAGCAGCAGCAGCAGCAGCAGCAGCAGCAGCAGCCGGCGCCGCACGGCAGCGGCCAGCAGGGCCCGCCGCCGCCGCACGGCCAGCCTCCCCTGGGGCCTCCCCACTACCACCACCAGCGGCGGATGGACTCGATGCAGGGCTCGCCACCCACCCACCTGGCGCAAAGCCACAGCCCGTCGATGCTGTCGCCGCCGCAGCAGCAGTCGACGGCGTCATCGCTGCCGCCGCACTCGCAGGGCCTGGCGGCGCACTGACTAGGCCCGGTCGCAGCGAGAGAGACGCTCACCCCGCCCCCCAGTGATCATAGAGCCATACAAAGACTATACTGTGCCGGACGCCAGCACTGAGTCAGCGCCGTGGCCAGCTGTGTGTGTATATAGACGGAGAGCCGCCGCCGCTGCTGCTGCCGCTGAACGGAGAGGCGCGCGGCGCCGACGGCGGGTGTGTGCGTGTGTGCGTGTGCGCGTGTGGGGCCGCCCGCGCCGGCGCCTCCTCACCGCGGTGCATCAAAAGCCGTCGCCGGCACCGGAGAGCTCGGTAAGCAGGTAGATCGGAATTCTCTCTCTGTCTCTGTCTGCTCTCTCTGTCCTGTGGCGGCGGCGCGGCGGCGGCGGCGGCGGCGGCGGCCGGGATCCCCGGTCGGCCGCCGCGGCCGGTCCGCCCGCCAAGGCCGCCCCATAAAAAGCGGCTCGGTGCTGGCCGCGCTGCCGGCCGCCGCGTCTCGGCTCCGTCTCCCGCTCAGTCCGGTCTGATGCCGTGCTCTCGGTCCGGGCCGCCGTCCCCTCAGTTGTACGGAGCTTATTCGTTGTTAGTTTGGCGGCGCCGCCGCGCCCAGCCCGGCCGGTCCCGGTCGCGGTTTGTGATAGAGCCCGCGGCCACTGAGAGCGCGCCAGCGAGCGAGTCTCATAAGGAATACCTCTAATGTTTGCATTTTGTGTACTTGCGACCGCTGCGCCTGGCTCTGCGGACCGTGGCGTTGGCCGGGTCAGGTCAGGCCAGATCAGGTCGGGCGGGGTCGGGACGGAGACTGCTAGATCTCCGTCGACACGACCCCGCCCGCCGGTCGCTGCAGCCACAGCCATCGGTGTACTGTCATCCAACTGCCGCGCTCGACTTTTTCATAGAAACTAAGCTGAAATTTATGGCCGACTCGATAGACAGTATCTTACCAGGTCTATTCGTATGTGCACTTTGCCGTATTACTTATTTCATAAAGCATTTTATTTACGGTGTGCTAAAAGTTCGCTTCTTCAGTTTAATCTGATTTCGAAATCATTTTAAATTGCTTATACAACAACCAGCTTATACCAATTATTATCTGGTATTCAAAATTGTGTTGTCTTGCACTAATGCTACCTTGAATAATGAATAGCTGGGAGGTATATGGTGTCTTGCAATTTGGTATCTTATGCGAAGAAATTAAAAGTTTTTTATGTCTAGCGAGTAACGCTGTCACATTTTGACCTTTAACAATGGTCGTTAACAAGGAACGCCAAATTCCAGGAAATGCTAAATCAAGGCACTAACAACACAAATAATAGAATAATGTTCACTACAATGTGTAGCATTTGCAGTTAATTCGTTTGCATGTGGCATTATTAAGTCAAGCAAGCACCTGTACTGCTTCGCAGCTCACTCCTCACCTCTGTCAAAAAGTACACCTAGGCACTTGGCTAGATCTTGTTGTATGGGACTGTTTGGTAATTGTAAATTGAGTGCCAAATCGCTTTGTAGTAATGTTGTCGTTATAATTGGTATTTATTCATTTAGTTTTCTGCCTTATTGCTGTTTTCTGAAATGTCTGCTTCAAATTTCATATGCTCAACATTGATAGAGTACAATGGTCGTATATATTTTCCATACGCATACATTCCGTTGTAAAAAAGATGTTTCGTAACATTTAAACGTGCACTCTTTGCATTAACCAATCAAAATGCTAGGTGACAGTAATGTTTAATTAACTATCGGTCGCTATAGTCATGCTTAATATGGATATACCATGTGGATGATACCGATTACAGTGTTGCAATTATTTGTTTTTGTTAATGTGTATTGCCATGCTTTTGAGAAGTGTGGCTTCTCTTCATCTACGCTCTTGTTGATGTCATGTCTGTTCGCGTGTCCAGGCATCGAGAGACAATGTGTAAAATAAATCCCGTTTGCCATACTTCAAAACTTTTCCATCTAGCGCTGGTGCTTCCAGCTGAGAGGAAATACGAAATATCCTGTCGGAAGTGCTCTGATAATGCCTGAAAACTGATCTCTGCCACTCGAGCGCAAACCCAAGTGGTTATAAAAGAGCCGCCGAATCCGGGCGGCGCGGTCGAACAGCAGAAATAGCGCTGAATCACGCGCCGAAATGTTTCACCGGGCCAATCGGCGTGTATCGGAGCTGAGATCTGGCGCCTGGCCGGCCGGCCGACAGCGACATATTGCAGCGCGCCCGCTTAATGCCTCTTCTGGTGCACATGCGAAAAACACAATGACGACGGGAGAGTAGGCGAGAAAGAGAAGGGACCACAGAGGGGAGAGGGTGTTGCAGTGGAGCGGCGAGTGCAGAGGGCAGGGGCTCAGTGTCGGCTCTCCGAGTGGCCGGTCCCAGCGGACAATGGCACCGTACCGGCACGCTCCCTCAGTCAGCCGCCAGCCATTTCTCTTCGGGCCGCAGACCGGCGCATTCTTCTCTTTCTCTGGATATCCATTTATTTCATTCTTATCGGCTGTCTTTGTCGCGGAGCGGCGCAGGCGCTGCGACGACGAACCGTTTTTACCGCAGTGGCGCACTCACACAGTCCAGTCAACAATTGGTGGCTAATTTATGTGCCATGACCCGCGGCATGGGCACAGATGCGCCGCCGAACGGGTTACTCGGCCCGGAGTGTGGCGCGCCGCCGCCGCAGCTCGACGGTGTGTCGAATCGTCGCCGGTCGGGCGCGGTTCCCGCGTCGCGTCGGTCCTTTGACGCGGGCCGGCGCGGCAGCTGCCGGCGGCCGTCGTCACCGGAGCCGGCGCGGCCGACGTCTTTGTGTCGCGGCCGGCGGCCTGCACGCCCCGGCTGAAATCCAGTCTCACCGGCGAGATGGCAGGTGTGCCGTCGCCATGACGACAGAGTGGCCCCCGAAACACGATCGCTCGCTTACCTCTGGCTGCCGCGACCTCGCCGGCGCGACGACCGACTTCGACCAGCTGCGCCGTCCCGGCCGCCGCCGCGCCGCTTCGGTCTCAGCCGCGTCATTTCAGCCGCCACCGCGTCTCTGCCGACCCCGGCCGGCGCCGCCGCTTTATTGGAAAGGGTTCGGGTGCAAGTTTCCAGTCGTCAATGCCCGCAATCCATCGCGCGATTCAATTTTGGCAACTTGGTTCCGGCGAATTTACGTTCAAAAATGGCCTGTTAGGAGGTAATAGTGTGGGGGAGCATGCGCCGGTGGCAGACGGAATTTCGCGCTGGAGGAATGATCCGGGCGCGGGCGTCTCTCTGACGGCCTGGTGTCAAGTGCCGGAGTGACGGCCGCGGCGCCGCCGTCAGCTTATTATACAGCGCGCGGCGACGGTAGGAAGCCGGCGAAAAAGTGTCGCCCGGTCACCGGCGACCGGTCCGGCGATGAGTCCGGTGACATATTTGGCCGTTTTTGCGGCCGGCGCGAGCGGACCAGTTTTTATCGGCCGACTCACCTGTTAGTGCGTATTTTATCTCTCATTAGCGGCCGGCTCCGGTGGCCGGTGGCCGGTCGGCTGCAGCGGCGATCACCGCCGGCACGCGCCGCCGCGGCCGGCCGCGCCGACACTAAAACAGTGTTTAAGTAATCAACTGTCAGTCGGCGCGGCGCCAGTGATATGTGTGTGGATGTGCGGCGGACGGCGTGGCCGGTGCGCCGACCCACGGGGACAGGCTGCGGGCAGTCCGCTCCCCTCAGCGCCGAGTCGACCGCCCCACACCGCGTTCCCGCGCTCGGCGACACAAACACACAGTCCGCGCCCTCTCCGGCCGCGCGCGCACCCGACACACAACACGCGCAGGTAGGCGGCCGCCGCCGCCACTGGGCCCATGACGCGACACTTTGCGGCGCGGCGCGGCGACTCTCGTGGCGCAGAAACGCGCCGCACTCGCCGCAGGTTACACAACACAGTCCACATAGACACGGGGACTTCGGAGTTGAGAAGCGACCCGGCCGGGGACAGTCGCCATGCCAATGTCAGCGAGCCAGACGCATCGCTCGAACGACGGTCACGACTCGAAAAAAGAATGAGACAGAACACAAAGCTTCGCAATGCTCACAAACCTGAAGCCCGCTTCTGCTATCCTTACAAGTGTTGCATGATAACATGATTAAATATTTACTCTCCAGGGCCAATGGAAATTGTCTTGCTGGTGGAATTTGATTTACTAATTTCTGCTTCATCGTTGTGAAGCGGGCAGTTAAGCGGCAATTTTCCTAGTTAGGTGTGAGTATGGATTTGGAACATTCAACACCTCATGAAAAATAGCTGCAAGAAACATGAGGACATGACTTCTCATATCACTAAACTGTCATTGAGCTGCGTTTAAAAAGAAAAAGTTGTTTGTATTCGAGTGTCTGTATCATTAAATACCCTGTGCAATATGCAATGTACATTGTACCTACATATTTAGAACTGCGTAGCGTAAAATATGATCTCGTTCACTCCTCATCTTCATCCTCAGCATAATTGAAAGGCATTACTTATTCGGTGATCTTTAGCTTTTGCACTGTGTTGTGAGCAAAATGTAACTATAGCTAGTGAATGCTTGCCAAGTGATATCTAGCATTCCAAGCATCTAACATGTCAAGTAACTACCTAGTGTTCGAATTATGCTTCGAGAGCTTGGGTTATTACGGAGCGAGCGAAGCGAGCGTAGTCTTTCCTTAGATTAACGGAAATTTCTGAGTAGGTATGAGCGGCCGGCCGGCCGGCCGGCCGGCCGTGGTCACGCTTTTGCGAGGCTTATATCTCAGCAACCACTTGACCGATTTACACGCGGTAATTTTTGTAGGGTAGCTTCATTCCTTCTACCAAGTATTGGACTATTCCCGATGCATGTGGGTGACCCCTTATGCACGTGCCACGTGCAAAACGAAGAGGTGTCAGTTTTGTAATTGTTGCAATATCTCGGTAACTACTTGGCCGATTGCGCTGAAAGTTGGCATGTAGGTAGGCACCCACTAGGCACTGCATATACATGTGCCAGAGTTGGGGTGCTGCTGCACGTGCGCACGTGCAGGGGTCGTTTCCAGATCTCGGGAACGGCTGGACCGATTGCGCTCAAATTTGGTACACGGTTACGGAGCAGTTAGTAGGGTGCCGTGCACAAGTCAGTTGGGACCCATTTTGCACGTGCGCACGTGCAGGGTGCCGCTTCCAGATCTCGAGAACGGCTGGGCCGATTGTGCTCAAATTCGGCACATCGCTAGAGACCGGTTAGTAGGGTGCCGTGCACAAGTCAGTTGGAGGTACCCCTCGCAATTTCGCACGTGCAAGGCCCACCCTCTCGCTCGCTCCGTTAGTCGCCCCATAAGGCGCTATACTGGTTCATTTACGAATGCCGAAGGACTATGCAGTATACATAGCCGGCTGACAGGTAGGCATGTGCTTGCACTTTCGTTTGGTGCAGCTTGAAAAAATATCCAACAAATACTAATAAGCATTTCAAAATTAATGTTTTGAATAAGAATTTGACGAGTTGTTGGACAGAGTCGTGGACCACACCGGCGTGCGAATAGTTAGAGGTGGGCATCAGCTGAAGTCAGTCGACGAGGACCGACCGTTGCCAGTTAGCGAGCCATGATCGCCAGTTTCGTACCGCGCCGAGTGAACCCATTAATTAGCCCCGTGATGAGACCCTTTCGCCCGACCCCAAATTTTATCCTCTCTCGGCAAAAAAAGAACTGTCAGATGTCGAGGAAATATTTGAAAAATTTCAGGAAAGGTCTGGAATGACAGGAGGGGAGTGCGTCAAATTCGCCCCGTGGGGACAATACAATGATCGTGCCCCATAATCTCCGGCAAATATTTTCCGCCGGGCACGTGACTACTGGCTTTATGGCGGTGCTCCCCAGATAAGGCGGTGCTCCCCGCTCGGGCCGCGCTCCCTTGGGTGGCGTCACAAAAACGCGCGCCGGCCGGGCCGTGTGACACCAGCCGACCTACCCCTGCCCTGTGATCCGTCTCCCCGTCTCCCCGAGTCTCCGCGTCTCCCCGCGGCCGTCTCGCGAGCCGCGCCGTGCCGCCACCTGCCCGCCTCTGGCACCGGTTCAGCACAGACTCCTGTTCTTATGCAAATGCCGCGAGCCGGCGGCAGGCGTGCCGTTTCCGGATCGGCAGCATTGATTTTCTATTACCATACATCAACGGCACCCATGGCCGGCGGAGAGCGGGCTGCTCGCCGCGCCGCCGGAGCTGGACGACCGAGCTCCCGACTGAGCTACTGACTGACTTATGGCTCACAGAGCTGACTCCTGTCTCACGGAGCTGACCGACTGTGCTGATGATTGTTGGAGCTAAGAGCTGGCAGAGACAGGGCTCTCTGGTGAAGTGGCTGATTGGCTGCTTGAAATCACTACGCTCTCTAGCCATTACCGCTTCGGAAATTTTATCTGTCCTGTGCGCTCGTTAGCTTTACCGCTAAAGGCATAAAGCTATCTTTTGCTTCACTTGTGCTTTTCAACTTGTGCTTCACTTTTTATGTAAATTACTAGTATTTATATGCACTGCAGCACCACTATGTTGCGTTCGTGAAATATAACGCATCTTTTGATTGAAGTCAACGGCAATAGCGAATGCTATGCCTAAGCAAATGCTGGTTAAAAATCAACACTAAGCTAACTTATGTATTCACAGGACATGGCGAAACCACATAGGAGCTAATCCTTTCAATCTCATCTGCACCTACAGCATGCCGCTTCCAGGCTCAACTTCAGCTCCAGCCCCAGCTCACTCCGTTCCCAGTCCCATGGCTCTGTTTCGGTCCAGGACCATCCGTCAGCCCCGTCCCGTCCCGTCCCGACCCATCTCGTCCCACTCCTCCCCGGCTGTCCAAGCGGCGCGCTCCGGCCGTCTGGCCACTTGGACGTTTGTCAAGCAGACCGCATATTTATGGAGCAGTTAACTAAAAGATTGGATGGCCCCGACTGCAGTGCGCCTATCATTAAA